GGATTGGATAAGCAGCTCGTCAGTGGCTGGCTTTGGCCACACCCCCTACCCTTTCCCGATTCCAAATTGTGTAAAATCAATCTGGGTGATGTTGGGTCTACACGCACCCCCCTCAGAGGGGACCCCCCAGATATGGGAGGCCGGTGTCCCCGATGAGTGTCCCCATGGGGGGTTTCCCCTCCCATCCTGTAGGGGCGTCAGAGGTCAAATGTTGTATTTCTCCTCCATTCCTGTCTGTTTGGGGTCAGTTTGTGTCAATCATACAGCAGCCAATATAAGGACAGGTTCAGGTGCTTCTACTGGCCGAAATTTTATAACACCGGCGTACAGGATGACAGCCAGGAGATCAGCATTTTCAGCCTCCTCTGTGGAGTTTTGCTGTATTTGTATCCGCTGTTCTTTAATTTGTGTATCCCCATTTCCTGTATCCTGTTCACAGCAGAGAATTAGTGGCCCTGCGACAATGGGGGCCCCGGATCCGTCAGCCATTGAGCAGGGGACAGAAGAGCGACTGTTGGTGAGGAAAGACGTGTTCCGTCCGTGGCCCAAAACTCGGCGCGCACTGAAAGGTGAGGCGGGGACGGAGGGGCACCTCCGGCATCTCCGCAGACGGAGCTGACACTACCGGTGCGGTGACCCCGGAGGGGGTGCCGGGGATGCCGAGTGTCATCCAAATACACAGTGAGCGCTGACCGCTCCTCTCTCTCCGTCTCCCGCAGCGTGCTTGCTGACCGTCAAAGGGGTCCTGTTCCGCGTCGGGGATGACTGGTACTTCCTGTTCGCACTGGGGGTCATCATGGCCCTCATCAGCTTCACCATGGACTTCACCGTCTCCAAAATGCTGAATGGTACGAGGTGTCCTGACACTGGGGGCCCCAAAATGTATCAGAATGAAGATTATTTATTATCATTTCATATTCATGTGTCACCGACTTCCCATCATTAACACAAGGGGTCCCTCATCCCTATGGGGGAAGGGGGGAAGGGGGGTACGCCTGGCCATTTGATTGCTCAGTTCACCTGGTTTGTAAAACAGTTATTGGTGTATTGATTAGGATTGGCCCCCTGTTGGTAAATATGCCTCTGCCTTGGCGTGCTGGGTCCAAGTTCCTCGATATAATGTTCAGCATCCTCTATTTTGGGGTCCCCTGTGTGGGGTGTTGGGGTCCTCTATGTGGGGTGTTGGGGTCCTCTATGTGGGGTGTTGGGATCCCCTGTGTGGTGTGTTGGGGTCCCCTGTGTGGGGTGTTGGGGTCCTCTATGTGGGGTGTTGGGGTCCTCTATTCAGTGTGTTGGGGTCTTCTATGTGGGGTGTTGGGGTCCCCTGTGTGGTGTGTTGGGGTCCTTTGGGTGGGGTGTTGGGGTCCCCTGTGTGGGGTGTTGGGGTCCTCTATGTGGGGTGTTGGGGTCCTCTATTCAGTGTGTTGGGGTCTTCTATGTGGGGTGTTGGGGTCCCCTGTGTGGTGTGTTGGGGTCCTTTGGGTGGGGTGTTGGGGTCCCCTGTGTGGGGTGTTGGGATCTTCTATGTGGGGTGTTGGGGACCTCTATGTGGGGTGTTGGGGTCCTCTATGTGGGGTGGCGGGGTCCCCTGTGTGGTGTGTTGGGGTCCTCTATGTGGTGTGTTGGGGTCCTCTATGTGGTGTGTTGGGGTCCTGGTGTCACTCAGGGGATAAGATGTCCTTTCCGGGGTATGAGGGGGTCACTCAGGGGG